CATCAACACATACATGTGGGCGTGTGCTTACACACTCACTGAGAGACAACAAACACAAATGGCATATATAAGAGTAAGGAAAGGCCATGTGCAAAGGTAAAAACAAAGACATTTTTAGGCTAACACGAAAGACTAAAGATGGAACTACTAAATTTTCTTTTACGGAACTTCATTACCTTGTCTGATCCTTCTCTAAGAGATTTCAAAGAGACTTTAAGAAGATTAGAGGAGTAAGGAAGAATTGCAGTCTTCAGATGGTACACAGCTGAGAAGAGAACCTGAATACATGCTGCTCTAATCTCTGGCTCCTTTGCTACCTGCTACCACCATTAAGATTAGTCAAACAAGATGACATCCAGCCTTAAAAATGTTGCCCCTAATCAGGAATCCCTAGATCTACAACTAAATTATGATTTCACTAATCAACCTACCCCAACAGATTGAATGAGACAAGGAAGAGTTTTCTGGGCAAAGGGTTTCCTGCCAGAGTTGGAGATTTTCTGGCAAGCACTAATGAGGACATTAGCCATGCACAAGCGAAATGGGAGAGGGACATTTGCCTCAGACTTCTCTCTACCAGACGAGATAAATTCATTCTTATCACAAGTCAATTGATGGATCACATAAGTGTGGACTGAATTTCTTGCAGAAGCACTACCTGCATTTGTGTTGCACCAGTCATTTAATCTCCTGTATGCAGCAAAAATCTTCCTACAAATTGAAAATACAATACCAACCAGAACAACCATCCTCTCCAACAATGCTAGTTCCGTTCCAGGTGCAATTGAATAACTCTAGTGCTTGTAGTTCAGTACATACCATCAGTGCTAGACAATCAATACACCCATGTTGTGCTTTGGAAACTGAGGAAAAAGTCTTGCAAGCATCAGACATTAGCATTGGTAAGATAAATCATTTAAGTACTACAGAAATTTAGCTACTAACCTTCATCTCCATCCATCGAAGGCCATAACAGAACAGTTTCAATTGTTTCTGTAATTCTGGAGATAACAGGAGGCAAGACTGAATCCCTGCCTCTGATCTTATCCCAGAGGAAACCACAACAACTAACTTCAGATCATATGATTCGCATAATAGCAATTACCGGTAATCAAAGTCTATGAAACAAAAGATAAATTCGTAGTGATGACAGATTTTTACCACAAGAGATGTGCAAATTGAAAACAGACAAGCTTTTATCTTCAGTAAATCATGAGCATTTGCAGCAATTTTCAATTGAGAAGAAACAATTGGAAATAGAATCTGCAGAATCAAATGAGAGGGCAATTAAACTTGTGTATACATAGATTAAGAAAAACAGCCATACACTATGTCATCAATTACAAAAGCACCATATCAAGAAACTCAACTAAGAACCATGCAGAAAAATACTGTAAAAGTCTCAATTTGGAAGAATTCCAGGAAAAAAGCAACCTGAGTAATGAAAGGGTACAAAACAAATTATCTAAATGACGTCAATAAAAGTGGCGAGAAAGTTCAGAAAAGTGCTAATCAACAAGCATTACAGGCAAAACCTAGAGATTGCTGGTTCCAATCTGAGACTGGCCACTTGGTGCAAATAATTACAAAGTTTTCAAGTTTGATCTACAGCCAATCCATTCCTTCCAACACACTTGGTTAATGGTTGGACCAAATTGGAACCAGGTTTTCTTCACAAAGCTTTGTGGACTGGAAGAACTGCAGAATAAAACATCTACGGAATATCTACTTGCTTCCATCAGGGAGTAACTTGTAATTTTTCCATGCAATTGGAGACTCACAATGCATGGATACTCTCTAATACAGTTTTCATTTTAAGACTCCTAAAGGTAGCAGATAAGAAATTTGTAACCCGTGCAAATTTCAAAAGGGAAAGAAATGATTCAATTCAACATCCCCATAAATTCTATAAGAAATTGTGATCCCAACAAAGTACAAAGCATACTGTGCATTTTTTGCTATTGACATCTTTCCCTTTCAAGCATGAGATTCTAAAATCAAGCATCCTAACTTTTACATCTACAGCGCTTCCCTATAGTTATTTTTTGAGGAAGTGAGTCTCAGAATCCTTTCAAAACATTCGTTAGGAGCCGATAAATGTGTATTAGAGCAGAAGCAACCAAGTGCTATTCATATGTCATACAAGTAGGGCTGTTAAACAAGCCAAGCTTGAACATTTTTTAAAGCTCGTTTATGTGTAAATAGTCAAACAAGTCAGCTCGTTTATGTGTAAATTCAGCTCGATTTAGGATCGAATTCAGCTTGATTAACACCCCTACATACAAGATGTACATTCAGCCCCAAAGGAAGATACTGTCTTTTCTGTATACGTCAACAAAGGAACAAGTAATTCCAATATAGTAACAGGCTGGCAGCTATATGCTTAAGAATAAATATATATTTACTGTTAAGTACATAGGGATGAATACGTCCACAGAGCTCAGCTGCAAGTTTCCGAACATCTTCAAGCTCAAACTTATTAAAAGCCCTGAAAGAGAAAATATGGAGAAACATCAGATCCTGATTTAAAAAATGGTAAGTTTAAGATGGTTATGCCTGTGGACCAACCTGTTCATCAGAAGTTTAGCAACACACTCAGTGTCGTCAATGCTGAAATATTCATTATCTGCAAACATGACACATGAAACCACAAGTTAATCATATCAACGTAGGATTATTTGTTTTCGATCAAAGCTTAAAATGTGAAATTTATTTCAGGAGCTCATTACGCTGCTAAAAAAAAAAGTTATGCCCACAATATTAAAGTCATTACCCAGTTTGGTTCCTGTTAATCATGAGTTTTGGCGAGGGTGGATTAGGTACATCCCCAACTTTTCATAAAATATGCACAAAACAGTAGTCATCAGATTTGAACCCTTAACGTTTCGGTTGTCAACCCAAACAATAGGAAATGAGGCTTAACATATCTTGTACTTTCCAGACCTTGAAAATGTAAGAGGGGCTTAAGATTCCCGCCGAAATAACAATCCACACAATAAACCACAAGAAGCGGAATAAGACAGAGGAACTTGAAGGTGGCTATTCGATATGAAATGGAATGAAGGTATATTGGCCACATGAATTGGTATGTCCTTGTGATGTAAACTCTTTGCGTAACATCAACCTAGGTCAATTAGCCTGTAGAAAAATTTACGCTCATATTTAAAAATAAATCGCTGAGTGAATATTTAGGTCAGCCTCCCCTTAATCAAGGATGAAAAAGGACAAAGAAATTGATAGGGGGAAGATAACAGAGAAGGGGGGAAAAGAGGATAAACTTTGGTCATATACTTGATTGGAAAATTCTTATTCTACAATGAAGAAAGACGTGGGCAAGCATGCCTATATTATTGGGACCCATCCCTAGAAGAAGATGCAGCCCACATTACATGTGTGATTAAATGTATCTTGTTCCTCCTATGGTCTGCATTGTTCTCCCTCTACTGGAGAAGACACCGTGCTCTGAAGTGTTTAGGCTTTAAAATTCTTGCATTTTACCTTTATCACAAGGGGCAGAAATATGTGAGAACACCCCACATCACATGCGTGATTAAATGTATCTTGTTCCTCCTATGGTCTGCATTGTTTTTCCTCTACTGGAGAAAACATTGTGCTCTGAAGTGTTTAGGCTTTAAAATTCTTGCATTTTACCTTTACCACAAGGGGCAGAAAAAAGTGAGAACACCATTCTATCCATCCATGTTGAAAACAGAAATTGAAACCACCTTACTTGGACCGTGCACTACAAAGCCATGACCACTTGTCTTTTCTCTCTGCTTTTTCTTTTATCTTGTATTGTATCACTTTTTTGGCTACTGGAGCTCACCAAATTTCCCCATGGATCCATTAACATAGGCATCCATGATCGCTCACTTCAAATTAAATATTGGAAAAACCTCTATAGCTGTAAGAAAGAAATGGGCAAAATCCATCTTACCCTCTTTTGGTTTGAGCCAATAGCACTTCACCCACTATAGTTAAAAATTACCACATAACTTCCAGGTGTTTGTAGACAAATTCGCACAACCAACACCATTAACGGAAATAATTAAATTACTTTAATACCCTAAAGTCTACTTCTTGCCGCAACTCAATTGCTCTCTCTGCAAAATGTGTAACGCAAAACAATCCATAATTTCAACAAAAAATCGACCACCAAAAATATCCCTCAAAGACTCACTGACAATGATCAAATACAACCTAAAAACACCGGAAAAATCAAAACCACCTGAAAATTGCAGTGATTATATAGATTTCCCGCCATTAAACCACAGATATATATATATATATCTGTGTGTGTGTGAGAACAAATAGAAAAAGATGCATCTGCAGGAGTGGGTGTACAAAGTGGTATTGAGACACAGTGAAGCAACCACGATCCACTACTTTGAAAAATGATGGAATACCTCTTTCATCTCCTATCTTCCATTCCTTCCAATCATCCACTCCTTGTACTGAGTGGAATTTAGCATTGTCTTGTTAGTGAAAGGTTTTAATAGAATAGATGGAGCATCATTCCAATAGAAGATTCAAGATTGGAATTGAAAGCAGATGTTTTTTGGTGGGAGCAATGGACGCTTACAGAGGTGATGAGACATGGAAAGTTAACTTCGTGTTTCTGATCCCTGGTGACTCTGAAAAATGGTTGGGGGTGACCCTCCCAACCCTGAAGAATGCTGTTATGTTGTCTGGATTTTTCAGGAAATACAGAGCAAGTTCTTTTTTGGTGTGGATGGAGTAGATTAGAAATAACAGGGGTGTCTTCATGGGGATTTCAAAGCAGTCATTGAATGGCAGGGCATCAAATATTAAAGAATTTGTGGATGTACCTTTGTTTTCCCTTAACCTTGATTGATAGCAGCTTTTAGTTGGATGAACATTTTCTTAAGTCATGTCTTCATCAAAAAAAAAAAGTCCCATTTTGACTTGACATTTCCAGATGTATTTCCTTTCATTTGATATTTGACAATTCTATTCTTGCGTTGATAGGAAACCAGAGCATTTTCTGTTCAAAGTTATGTGTCAAGACACAGATTTGGATAAAATCAAATCAAAAAGAAATTGTATTCAAGAGATAGTGTTCTGTGCAAAGTGCAAATTGTTGTGTTCCAAGGTCCGACGAATCTCTCTCGATATGGCCAGAGGAATTGTGAGTATGCGTGGTGTGGTGGCTGTGGATGGATTATGGTTGATTACTAACTGACACGAAACACAAAATCACACGAAACACTTACGACATTATGAATCGATTGATAACCTTACGTCAGAGGCAAAAAACAAAAGACTGCAAGAAAAAGTTAAACTGTCAGGACTTGAATAACTCAAAAAAGCCTTCTTAATTTGGTCAATTCCATGGTACAAATTATTCATAATGGACCTTCACTGAAGTACTTAACACCAGTCTTGAGAGACCCCACGCTATCAGCCATTGACAAAAACTACAAATTTCAGACCTGGGTGCTTCACAATATAAAAGTTTTGTGGCTAACATGACAATTAAACTAAACGAGGAATATGATAGTCTATAAACTTAAATTGAACAACGAAAGGCAAAAAGCTTAAAGTTAAGGCATTACCAACCAATTAAAGGCTTGAACTCAATGCTAGCTAGAGTCACAAAACATATTATTATTGTGATATTCTGATTACTTGGAAAATTCACATCATACTCAAATGTAAGCAATCCTGAAATAGAGAGACCAACATGAACCACCCTGACCCCACCGGAATAAACCACAGGCACAATAATAAAAAGGAAGGAGGATACGGAAAAGCAAAAATAAAATCATGCATACACCAACAAAACAATTTAATATATCTATCATACAGTTATACTTAGAAGGCACAGAACAAACATACCATGCATAGTGTCTCGGCTGGGAAGTTCACCATACATAAGAGAAGAATTGAGTTCATTGAAAACTCTCAGTGGAAGCAGCCTGATTATAAGCAATGGGCACAGGCGATCAAAGAGAGAACTTTGGAATTTCACAGCACCATCGCTTGGATAGGTTTTACACTCCTGGTCGGTGAAGTAGCCTTCATCAATTCTGATACCCAAAAAAAATAAAACAAAGGTTCACTTAAAATAGGCATTAACATAGCAGCAGACCCAATTTCCAATTCTCTGGTTCAAAAAAGAATAAACTAATATCAACATCAGATCAAATTATCCAATTTTCTGACGCCTAAGTCAGTGGGATATCATATAAAACAGGTTGAGTTTGTTCATAAAAGGAATTTAGATTCTGTTTCTGTGACAAAGAAAAGAAGTGTCAGAAGACATAATAATTTTCACCAACAAAATGAAAAGGAAACACAGTTGGATTCTAGTAAAGATGTCAATGGCTAGTAGAAAAATCTCATGAATGGGAAAAGAATATAGTTTCTCTAATGGTGCCAGGTATATCTAATGAAAATGAAAAAAAAAAAGCAGATGCCAACTGGCACAGGCTAGATAAGAAAAACAAAAAGAAATGGATAAATGAGAAACAAGGTTATGAACACACACATATAAATATGTGCGAGCATATATATATATATACATGAAGGCCACGTAAATGTCTCTGAAAAGTGAAAAGGTTATGTTGATTAAGTTAGTGCATCCAATTCACATGTGAACACCAAAAAAGTTGAGCATTTCATAGTAAGATTTGAAAACGCGAGCATAATCGAAAAAGAAAAAAAAGCTGTTTGTTGGAGGAGGAGGGGGGCAACAGTGTGCTTATTCACAACAAATTGGCAAAAGTTACAGCATGCTTCGTTGGGCTTGAATTCTCATATATGTCGTTCTCCAATGAAACTTTTCATCAATCAATTAGAAGAGGTTGCTTACCGATCCAAAAATTGATTGCATTACATACACCGTTGTGTTGGTCAATATTTGTTATTCAAATGACCGACACATTAGTTGTTAGATAAGATATTGTAGATACCATTTTACCACAATAATTTTGAAGGCCGTGTGCAATTAAAACCGAAGAAGTCTTTATTCCAACTATGTGGAGTTGACTAACTGACTCCTGCTTCTCCACTATGCTCTATTAATGATCCTATCTTCCTTTTTTCCTATCTCATTCAAAGTTCAGTCTACCTCTACCTCTTACATTGCCATCGATATGTATTAAATCAATATTACTCACTGGTGCAATACTGAGTCTCTATGGACATGTCATAACCACCTAAGTTGAGCATCTCTTAATTTACCTGCTATTGGTGCTACTTCTACAGTTTCTCGAGTAAATTCATTTCTATCATTTCTGGTCGTACCAAATATCCATCTTAACATCCACATTTTGGCTACACTTAGTCTTTGAACATGTTGTTTCTTTATTGGCTGACATTCTGTATCATTAATCATAATGGTGCTCCAGTTGAGCTTGAGCAAGGATAAGATGACAACGTTGTGGTGGAAAGTGAAGACTTGACAGGTGATATTATATTAGAAGAAATGACCCAGAGTGAAACACACTGGAAAAACACAGTATGTGTAGTCAATTAACACAAAAGCTCTTGTCAAATATGATGCTCCATATAGTAGATGCATTCATACACACAAGACAAGCACCCAACAGAAGCATGCCTATAGTCATGTATTAATGCCTAATAATACTGGGAAAGCTTCCAATCAAGAGTCAGATGATAACAATAATTTTCAAGGAACTGCACATTGGCAGCATGTGTATTGGCACTGAGACATCAACATCACTTAAAGCTGTAGTATTTTTTTTCTCTTTGCATCTGGGAAACTGTAGCACACCACCAAGTCCGTAACAGCTCCCCCTTCCTCCATGAGTCCCCAACTTCACCAACATCAAAAGAATCAGAGTACATCACCTAAGCTTATTGACCGAGGAGAAAACAAGAATGAGGTTTATTGAAGGAGCCTATGCACCAGCAGAATCCATTGGAGATTCAAAAAACCGTGAGATACTTGATATTCATCATTAATTTTCTTTCACATAAAAGTAAATGATGAGTCTCGGAATCCTAAAAAAAAGCAGCATCTTTTCTGTAGTTTGTGCACTTTGCCAGCCCAATGATCCGTTCAAGTAATCTTAAACTAGCCAATACTTGGCCAACAGCTTGTAGGAAAGGTTCTTTTGCAAAGGCAAACATTCCAAGATGCTACACATGTTGCTTGACTAGCTCTTATCTCCTAGCTAATGTTCTTACAGTATTCGACCAGCAACTAAATAGACGAGCTAGTAGTAGTCAATCAAAAAAATAAGACAAGCAACACTAAATCAATGTGATAAAGGATTTCAACTTGCAATGGACTAAAAAAGACAAACAAGAATGAGTTTTATGTACAAAATTAGACTGGATATAACATCCGCTGATAAGATGTACTTACTCTTTTTGCTGCCTTGCATGCAAAAGAAGTCTACGGAAAACAACATCTGCAGCTTCCGCTAAGTGTTCACTTATATAACTTAGGAACCTGACAAAAATTGCATTTGATGGCTCCATAAACATTTTGTCGATCAATGGTCCACTTATCAAGCTCCAATCTGTAACCTAGAGTATTACAGGCAAAAAATAGCAACTAAATCAGGTACAATCTAACCACACTCAGTGCAAGTAAGCACACAAAAAGATTAATGCAAAGGCAATTGAAGGAACAATCCACAAACAGAAAAATATTACTGAAGTTAATGCACATCCACCATGATGGAGACTCAGATCCTTTTACCCAATATTTTTACATATATGCAGGTGGGAGCTACAAATTTTTATATTAAATGCCTTGCAAAATAACATATTTGTAGACAGATTACAAACAAGTTCAGGCATTATGTAGACATATTAAGGACAAGTAAAATGTAGGGCAAGTAAAGTATAGTGTACGATGCAACAGAGGCATTTTAGTACTTTTGAAAGGCAAGAATCTGAGACGGTAAAAGAAATGAGCTGCACAGAAACACATGATGTATATAACAGTATATAGACTGAAATATGTTCCAAAAGCATGCAAGGATCCCATGATAAACCATAAATAGCTGCAAAACTTCAAATCACCAACAAATTAGTTAGGTAGAACACATTAAGCTTACCGTTTTTGACCACTCTGGGATCAATTTGAGTACTCTATCAGTGTCCAACTTTGATCCTGCAACAATGTAAAACAGGCGATGAATTGAAGAAGTATGTTAAATCAGTATCCTCAGACCATAGAAGACAAACTATTGAATGTAAATGGTGCTTTCTTTGGAACCTTTCTACCATTGGGACAATAAAGTTGGTTGCAAAATTCAAAACTTTGTTTCATTTTTCTTCTGTTCTTTTGCAATCAGTAATATATGTGATTTTTGTGAGAAAATGTCTAGGCTAGTGTTCTGCTATCTGCTCTCACAAAAAAAGGGGTAAAGAAGAAGATAAAAAAAAAAATCGCCACCAAACATTCTACAATTCAAATGGCCATTGAGCAAATTCATTGAATGGCAATAATGGGAAGAAAGTGGTATCATGTTTTATGTACTGTTTTGAAGTCAAAACAATAAAAACACACCTTCTCTTCTACCACCAGCAACTTCTGGAAGGTCTGGGCTTTGGCAGAGGTTGCTGCAAATTACAACAGTAGTAAAAAAGGTACACAAGTAAAAAATTCAGTCCAATTATATTGCAGCTGAAAGCAAACAGTTCAACGTATGAAGACATTCTGTTCTCTTTGGGGACCCCTAGTCAAACAAGATACTTTTGCAAACTAAACATTTGAGTTCTATAGTTGGGATGATTCTGTGTTCTATGAGCCTATAAATTTGGACTGCCGTGGTACCTCAAAGAGTCGAGCAGTGAGCATATAACCTCTGGTTTTTTGTTGTTATTTTTCAGCACTGCAACCAGTGAATTACAAGCAGGCGACTGTATTCCTTCATCTGACAAGTAAATAAGACGAACTAATCCAGGCAAAACTAATGAAGGCTCTGCAAAACAAATAATAACGTCAATAATGGGAAGTAATAGGATCGAGTGCATCAATCTGTACAAAAGACAGACAAGAAAAAATTCTTTATATGAGGTCAGATAAAGTAGATGACAACCTAAAATATAGTTAACATAAAACTTATTTTGAGCAGGAAATATTTTTTAGAAAGCCTCTTATCACACAAAAGGAAAAAGAAAAAAGAAGAGAGAGGAGAAGCAAGATCTATTGACATATTAAGTACTAGCAATAACCCCGTATCTGAAGACACTCTGCAATACCAAAATCAAGCATTGATCGTGCAATTTTGATATTTTAAATAGTAATTTATTTTTCTTTTATTTTTTTTTATAACGCAATTTAAAATTAAAGTGAATAAAAAAGAAAATAAAAGAGAGGTAGAGGAGAGATAAGATATAGGTAAGTGTGCATTAATGAGTTTGTTTGACATTGGGGAGTGTGTTGATAGAATTGTTAGACGCTAAGAGCCGTGCAGATGTTTATGAACGGGAAAAAAAATTTGCGATGAAATTCTTAACATTGGATTAAAGTAGATAAAAAATTAGATCAATCTTAACCATTGTTGTGTTTTTCTAAATTGGGAATTCAACTTCATAGCTATAATATTAGATAGATTATCCGGACATGCCATAGAATTAGCTTAGAAATACAAACTGAGTAGCCTGACCGTTTCATCAAATTGTGTTCGTAACTTAGACATCTCAAAAATCAAATTATGTAAACTAGATACAGAAAGTAAAGATCATACACTATAACAAAAGTATGAATTCCACAACAGGAGTAACCCAGCTCAACTAAGAGTAGTGTTAATCGAACAGGCAACATCAACAAGGCTTCATGTCAGATAGAATCCATGCACAAGGGAGCATTTCAATCACTGACAACTAAAGCAGTCCCTATAGTCACCAAAATAAGCTTTCCTGTAATTTCCTCCGGATAACTGTTGACTCATTTCAGATCCGATATACTATTTCCAAGACAAGACACTCACTCATACAAAAACTAGGCATCAGAATTCCAAATTCTCAAACTAACCGATAATTGGAATCAAATTAGATGCTTGTGCTTGAATTACTGATTCTTCATCTTCGAGGCACTCCAGTAATTGGTTTGCTATATCTTGCCTGCAATATTAATTAGTATACAATATCTTAAAATGCAAACAGGTTACGCTGTAAAATATCCAAAAAACTTAATAACCATCAAAAGTAGTTCCATACCACATCAGATGGGAATCTAGGTTGACAGAATCTAATGATATAAGGATAAGTTCTGAAATTACATCAACGGCATTCCTCCTCTGTGAAACATTTCCAGAAGCAAGGCGCTTCAGAATTTCTTGAAGGCACCCACTGTCTAAGCTTCTGATGAATCAACAAATGGCAATCAAGTTATGAACCTAATGAAAGGGCATGAAATATTAATGCAAGTCCAGTAAGTGTGCAGAGTAAAACATACATGGAGCAATATTCTGCAAGAAGCATAACAACAGCTCTGGCAGTGCCATCCCGCTCATCGAGAAGGTGAAGAAGCAATGGTAGCACAGCATCCATCTGCCTTGTGTCAGTGAGACTGCTTCCATTCAAAGAATGATTTGTTTTAAAAATAGCTGCTTTGAAGATGCAAATAGCACCATCAATCACATCCTCGTCGGCACAGTGAAGCTACAAAAGGCACATGACGTGAATATGGATATAATTGCTCCAGGCACAATGATAATATCAGAAACAAAAAGCAACAATTTCATATAAATGAGTATGATGGATGGAAAACTATATTGGCAGAATGTTGATTCACTCTTTTACAGGTTATTTGCAACGTATTTGGTAGCCACCTTCTCAGTTTTCTAATTTAAGGCTTGTACCCATAAGACCACCAAAACTAGCATATCAGTCAAATGGACCTCTCCATTCATTGCCAAATGATTGGTGCTGGATGCTTCAATATAATATGAGAGAGAGGTTTCAGGAGGTAATGGTTCAATTCTCAGTTTGTTTGCTTCATCATTCTGTTCTTATTTGTTAAGTATGTTCAATATGTGCCGAAGCAAGATTATTAGTATAATAGTAAGGTGTGATAGTGTATGGGCACTCTACATGTAAACAAAGCAGAAGTAAACTACAAAAACTCCTCTTCAGTAAACTTGGGCCCAAATGAATTAGCCACTGAATATTATCACCAAGATCAAGATTTGACAGACTTCACCGAAATGCTCTCCCTATCCTTCTAAAATAATACTACTCAATAATTCTGAGTGAGATCAAGATCTCGTTATTTTGTTACGTTTGTTGATGATCATTTACGTATGACCTCGTTGTTTTTAATGAAATATTGCTCAAAATTATTCTTCATCTTTTAGTTGTTCCGCAAGCAAATTAAGACTCAATTTGATTGCAATATTCATATTTTATGGTCCAACAATGCTAAAGAATATATGTCTAATCCCTTTCAAGCTTCCTTCCAACTGAAAGGGATTATGCATTAGACATCTTTTGTTCATACATTTCAACAAAATAGTGTGCTTGAGTGAAAGAATCGTCATATATTGGATGCTCTCCTGTTTTATATGCATGTTCCTAACTGTTTTTGGGGTGATGTTATTTTGATTGAGTGTTTTTGCCCTATACGGTCTTAAAAACGTCCTTTCCCATTTTGTTTTATTTCCTCAAACTCTATTGTTCTCTATTCCTCCCAAAGTGTTTGGTTGTGTTTATTATGTTCACAATCTTAGTTTTGATTTTGTTAAACAACTAAAACTTGATCCATGCGTTAATAAGCGTATCTTTCTTGGTTATTCTAACACACAAAAAGGTTACCTTTGTTATAATCTTACTTTGCACCAATACTTTACCTATGTTGATGACCTTCTAGGAATCTACCCCCTATTTCTCTGCTCCCCCCATTCTTCTTACTTGCGTCCATGAGTCATCTCCTTTACCTATTTTACTTACTCTATCAACTCTTATTCCAATCATCTCCTATGTGTCCCCTCCCGTACCTTCCACCACACCCTTAAAAGTTTACTCTTATCAATCGAGGCCGCTAGTACTAGATTCAGTTCCACCACCAACTTCCTCATTGTCTTCGGCTCTGACTGCTTCAGACTCTTTAATGATTGCTCTTCGTAAAGGTATTTGTTCTTGTGTTACTAACCATCCTATTGGTAACTTTACTTCTTCTCGATCATTATCTCATTTATTCTCTTATTTTACCTCTCAATTATCTACTATGTATGTTCCTAAGACTGTCTCAGCTGCATTATTTGATCCACGTTAGCGGCAAGCTAGGGAAGAAGAGATGCATGCACTCCATTTGTTCACTATGCTGAGACTTTTTCTCCGGTGGCCAAGATATCTTCTATTCGGGTTTTGATATCTCTTGCTAATTTTGTTTGACCCTAATTTCAATTAGATGTGAATGCTACTTTCTTACATGGTGATTTAGTAGACGAGGTTTATATGGAACAATCATTTGGGTTTGTTGATCAAAAGCAATATTAGGTGAGTGTATGTACGTAATAGAAAGCATTATATGTGCTGAAACAATCTCCATGAGCATGATTTGGGAAATTCTCAGATGCGGTATTGGATTTTGGTCTCCATCGTACATACTAATACACGTAATATCATCCTTGTTGTTTATGTTGATGATATTGTGATTACCGACAATGACTGTTGGTATTGTCAAGTTAAACAATTTATAGAACTGATTTTACACTAAATATCTAGGCAAACTTTATTATTTCCTTGGTATCGAAGTTGCTAAATCGAAATAGGACATCAGTTTGTCCTGAATAAAATATGTGCATGACTTTTTGACTTTTCTAGGTAGTCGACCAATTGATGTCCCTAAGTATCCAAATCATAAACTCTCAGGGGATGAAGGTGAATATTTCTCGAATCATGTAAGATATCGTCGATTAGTTGGCAAAGTTAAATTATCCCACCATTATCCAACCAGATATATCTTATGAAGTGAGTGTAGTAAATAAATTTATGGAAGCTCCTCAAGTACCACATTGGGATGTTGTTATTCGTATTATCAGAAATCTCAAGCATGCTTCTGGACTTGGATTATTGTATAGATCTCATAGGCCTCTTAGGTTGGAAAAGTTCACAGATATTAATTGGGCAAGCTTCATCAACTATAGGCTATTGTACCTTTTTGGGAGGTAATTTGGTTGCACGAAAAATAAAAAACAAATGGTGGTGGCACGGTCTAGTGAAGAAACTGAGTACAAGGCAATCGCTTACACTAGTAGTGAGTTAACATGATTGCAACACTTCCTTAAGGAAATCGGGTCTCTACTCTCCATATGGTTATTAGATCCTTCAACATCTAGCTTTGATATTCTTCATTTTATCCTCGCTTATCATTAATATGGTTAGAATCTTAATAGATATTTAGCAAAGTTATATATATGCTACTTCTCTTACCGCTTTTTAATTTTTTTATTTGCAAATTATATCTTTCAAAATCTCCTTCAATTTTTGATTTTTGACATGTTTGATGACACTTTATTTTTGCTTTTACTAAAGTTTGGACCTCATCACTTCACCGCCAAAATTTTTTCCGCAAATAGTCCATTACTTTTTCATTCTCTAAGAACTTATCTTGATATTCTTTCAACACATTCTATCTATATTCTTAATTACATTAGTTTCATCTACTAAATTTCACATCTCTTCTTTAGTTTTTTTTTTCTTTATAAATTTCATCACATAGTTCTTGGACCTTTAGTCTCTTTTATTAGTCCCAAATGATTTAACATACATAAGTAATATCATTTTACTATGTGGTGTGATTAAGCTCTTTCAATGAATAGCCTTCCTTGTATGATAAATGATCCATTATTAAAATTAGAAAAATCTAATTTGCTCATCTAATCAATTTAATTGTTATCAACATAGTTATTAGTATTGTACGATACGCAATACGTATTATACGATACGTCACAATACACTTGAAAAACGATACGTATCGTATCTCTATATCGTTTTTGCACTGTATCGTACGATACACGATACGATATGTACGATACTGTAAGACCCTGTACTAAAAATTAAATAAGAATACTAATATCTTAAGAGTTTTTCAAATATGAATAAAATGAGGATAAAAACTTAGAATCATTGTTGAAATATTAATCATGAAGTTTGAGTTTCGAACGGATTGACTTTTGGGTCAAACTTAATTTTTTTTTTTTGGATGTGTTTAAGATTGATAAGGGTAACTAAATAAATATATTAATTTTTTTTATCAAAATAACATTACCATTGAATTCGGGAGGTCGAAAAACATTGGGACAGGTAATATGGGATGTATTAGAAGTTAGGAAGTATTTTAGAAGTAAAACCAAATTGGAGTGAAATTGGGTAAAAAGGGGTGATGGACACTTTTTAGTATTTTGATCATAACTTTATATTTTGATGTCCAATTGATCTGAAATTTTGACAGGAAATAGTAGACATCTAGGGCTACAAAAGTGTATTTCATGAAAAATTTCCAATTCGACCTCTAAATGGGTCAAAATTGACCTGGAAGTTGCACCAAAAATCTGTGAACAGTACGAAGGAAACCCGATTTTTCTGAACAGAAAATATCGGGTTTTGCTCGATTTTCTTGCCCTATAAAAACCTAATGTCGTCCCTTTAGCATTCATTTCACCCCTCCAAACCCTAGGAACCATTTTAGAGGAAGAGAGGAAGATAGAAATACCAATCAAGAGGGATTTATACCTTGTAGAAATCAAAACTTCAAATTCTTCAAGAATACATTCTCCTCCCATTTTCTTCCATTCTTGCTACCCTCTCACCCAAATCTTTTGAAACCCTAGGAGGAGAAGATTAAGAGGAAAAGAAAGGAGAGCAAGAAGGTCTTGAAGCTTGGGTCTTAGCTTGGAATCTTGATTTAAGGTAGGGGATTTTCTCTCAATCTCTCACGTTGAGGCTAGATATATATATATAGATATATATATGTATATAGATATATGTTTCTTCACTCTCCTTCTCATATATATAATATGAAATACATGATTCTTGTTCTATTTGTAATAAATACCATGTTTTGAACAATATGAAGGGTGGGTAACCACCAAAGCTCTATTGATTTTTTTTTTATCTTCAAAGCCCTAGTTTTCAAGAAAAATAAATTTTCTCCTAATTTCTTCTTTGTCTTTGATTTTAAAACTTTAGTGTTGAATATTGTATAACAAAATGATATAGATTACGATCTCTTGCATATTTTCTTGGATTATTCGATTATATGACAAATGTGAAAACAAAATTGGGGATTTTACTATATTTGGGAAATTGTTGTGAATTGTGAATATTCTTGATTTTCTCATTGTATGGTTGTTGTGATGGACTTGGATTACCTTCGAGAGATGCCGTAGAGTGTTAGAGGTTAGTCTATCCCAATGGGGGGTGAGATGGTTGCCTAATGCTCGTAGTGGATCGTTGTTGTGCTCGCGATCACTATTGTTCACATATACACCGAGGAAAAGGGTTAGTATACTAGACACCTTGGGAGGATTTCGTCAATGCCGTAGGAGACGGTACACGCCCTTCCTAAAGAGATTTGTGATTGTTGGTTGGAATTGGTGGACTAGGCATGATCGTTAGGTAGATTCACGAGAAGCAATCAACATACATGGTACGGGGAT